AGACAAATGTACAATTGTGGAGAGTGATTGTTGTCTGAAAATGTTGACCACATCATATAAACACTAATAACATTAACAATCACAAGCCACAAAAAACGGTCAATCATCATAAAAGACTCAGCACCATACATACCTCAACAGTTGGTACATAACGAGAGTAACAATCAACTATAATAATTTTACATAACAAATTTGTCCTGACATCACATGATAACAGGTTACTAAACAAGACAAATTCAACGATGTAAATAAAACCTGCAAAAGGGAAAAACAATGCAATAGCCTACTATTAACTATTAATTCCACATGCTGGGAAAAGCACAATTTAGACTTTTTCAGTGTAGGCCTTGTGTTGATTTGACATATCTTAAAGTATATTGTATTTAAAAAAAACTATGATCATTACGTAACAGTCAGTTAAGTATTTGGTAGTGCACTATTGGCATTATTTACTTTTTTTCACAGTGTTGTTTTAATTTTTTCAGTGTTTTTGTCTTTTGAGTATATATTTGTATCTATCTTTTGCTAATGATTCTAAATGTTGGAACTTCATCAGTACAGTACAGCTTCTTCTCTCTTGTTAATGCACATCAAAGCCTTCGTACATTCTGTTCTCCCAGCAGGGTTCAATTCCACAGACTTATTCAACTGTACTCATCTAATTTAGAAAGTCTATTACCAGTGATGGGCTATTGTGCAACAAATTCTCATGAAAAAGGTGTAAAACACGCAGTCCGCCCCTTTTGTTAAAGGTTGAAACACTCTGGTAAAAGCTTTCTTTCTCATCTTTAAATTGTTAAAAAGCTGTTGATACAGCTAAAATGAAACATGTAGGCCTATAACTGGTAAGCGTTAATACAATGTAAAAGTCAGTAATTTCCCAAGTCTCCTATCCATTGCACTAAATTACTACTGTTGCAGGCATTTAATTTGACTGTTCTGAAGATACTCGCTGGAGCTGTTTACTTGTTAATGAAGGCTTGAGACAGTGATGTGTCTTTGCATGACAAACAGAGTGGGTTATACAGTTATTATTGTTTATGAGTATAAGGTTAGTCTCAAACAACTAATACAAAACATCACAGACAAAGGCACATATGAGTGAACACGCATGCTGTTAACAATGCACTTACACCGGATAATATTACAATCACGTCAAGGAACCAAGTATGCCATCATAAGACATTACATTGCCAAAAAGGGCTAAATCGGCCTAAATGGTGATATGACTTTGACTCATAATGAAGACTTTAAATGTTTTAAAAATTGAATATTTGGCCAATTTCACACAACCTCCTTACTGGCAAGATAATTTCTTCCTGAGGTTAATCAGCTGTTGCATTTTCCAACACAGAGTGGTTTTGTCTCTTCAAAATATTCCACTTTGGAGGTAAATCGCTATTTTCAGTAAAGCTGGTCTACATTTGGGCTATTGTCTGAGCAACTATTTACAGATGTTTGAACAGAGCTGTTTTCTACAGCTGGTTACCAAATGTGCCTGAGTCTTCTCTTGTACTGTGCAATAACAGCTTATGTGTGTGATGTTTTCAGATTGTTGAAAACGAATGACTGTGTAGCATCTTAAAGTATGACTGTACAGTCTTTACTGTAAGCAAGTAATGTTCTTGTCCAATAGATAAATGTTGCTATAAGCATGTGAAGTCTCTCAGTTCACTCTAAACACAACACGTGTGAGGTTAGTAGTGTTGGCTTTGATCTGCAGCTTTTGGCACAGTCCTGTTAACGTGTTCAGACCTGCCTCAATAAAGCTCCTGCTGCTTCCCCCTCCTGCAGTTATACAGCAAGACACATTCTCTGTGGGGGCTGTCAAGCCATTTCTGTTAGGTTTTGTGTAGAAGCAATCCGGTAAGCATATCTGGTAAACATATCAGTTTCTCTCATACTTTTCCTGTTTAGGAAACCACATCTTTGTAGTGTTTAAAAACGATCAACATTGTATCTCACAGATTGAGGGAAGATAACTTGTTCACGAGTAACGCTAGCAGGCAGTATTTTACCATTTTATTCTTGTTTGTTTATTCAGTTAGGGTATTGATTGGAGACCGCTGGTGAAGATGCTACATTTATTTAAATTTGAGTTATATTTACTAAATACATTTTAATAAGTTTTAGGATGTCATAGTATTTAGTATGTCTTTTGTCCAAAATATTGAGACCTAAAAGCAGTGAACATGTTCTGTGTCACTCACAAATGTACTTATTTGATTAGTGACCAAATAAATAGTTCATTTAAATATTCGTTTTAGATCCCAGATTCATTTTGATCCCAGATTTTGTCATTAAAGAACATATTCAAATATAACTGGAGAATGGCTATTCCGTTTTCTACATTTTATTAATTAAAGAAGTGTATAAAATGAAAAGATTTATGGAAGGCCATGCTCACATATTGAATCTGTTGTGTAAGTGTGTAGCAGTGTTTCTGATTTATCAGTGGATGCTTTTTGACCCTGAGGGTCTGTGTGTGTGTGTGTGTGTGTGTGTGCGTGCGTGCGTGCATTTTTGTGACAAATGAGGACATAAATTTGTATAATGACAAGGGTATGACATAGGTATTACAAGGAGAAGGTGACTTTTCAGAACATTACCCCATGTCCCCACTTTTCAAAACACTTATAAATCACACAGAATGGAGTGTATTGAAAATCTGAAATTGCACAAAATTTCCTGTAAGGGGTAGGTTTAGGGGTAGGGTTGGTGTAGGGCAATAGAATATATGGTCTGTACAGTATAAAAACCATTACGCCTATGGGATGTCCCCACTTTTCACAAAAACAAACCTGTGTGTGTGTGTGTGTGTTTACCTGGTATTTATCACGTTATGGGGACCAAATGTCCCCACAAGGATAGTAATACTATTACATTTAAAAAATTTTGAGGTCCCCATGAGGAAACAAGCTTCTAAATCATACAGAATGAGTTTTTTTGAGAAAATAAAAATGCAGAAAGTTTCCTGTAAGGGGTAGGTTTAGGGGTAGGGTTGGTGTAGGGCAATAGCGCATACAGTTTGTACAGTATAAAAACCATTACGCCTATGGAATGTCCCCATAAAACATGGAAACACAGCATGGTGTGTGTGTGTTTTAGCAAATGTACCATTGGCAAGGGTGTGTGTGCTTGTGCATAAATTCTGCTGCTCTCTCAGTAACAGTTAATAGTTCACATTGACCTGGATATAGACAGTGTGCTGCCTACCTTGCTGTCCATTGATAAACATGCTGATCCACAACAATGCTCATGCAAACTCTACCTATAATGGCAAATTAGACTATTTGAGGTCCCCATGAGGAAACAAGCTTCTAAATCATACAGAATGAGTTTTTTTGAGAAAATAAAAATGCAGAAAGTTTCCTGTAAGGGGTAGGTTTAGGGGTAGGGTTGGTGTAGGGCAATAGCGCATACAGTTTGTACAGTATAAAAACCATTACGCCTATGGAATGTCCCCATAAAACATGGAAACACAGCATGGTGTGTGTGTGTTTTAGCAAATGTACCATTGGCAAGGGTGTGTGTGCTTGTGCATAAATTCTGCTGCTCTCTCAGTAACAGTTAATAGTTCACATTGACCTGGATATAGACAGTGTGCTGCCTACCTTGCTGTCCATTGATAAACATGCTGATCCACAACAATGCTCATGCAAACTCTACCTATAATGGCAAATTACTCCTTGACACAGGTGAGTTAGACCTATAGCAAGCAAATTGCAAAGGCAGAGATTTCAGTTTGACAGTTACCAGTTACTATCTTTTTTATTGTGTATTTGTGAGCAAGTATATGCTATATGGTTGCATTTATGAACTAATTAATTGCAAATTCAGGTCTGTGATAGGCTAATGTTAGAAGGAGTATATCCCTTGCCTATATCGGTTTCTGAAATATCACCTCCAATTTCTCTTCAATTTATAATGTCTGACTTCTACCCTCTGTAGAATAAAAACAAACAAACAAACAAAAAATACTAAATCTGCACAGTATTTAATGTGGGTGTCAGACTCTAGTGCAAAAAAAAAAGCCTAAGTAGGATACAGATATACAGACCAAACTGCAAACTTATGACAAACTTGACAAATGATCTATCACAGTATGCGTTATTAAGACTGGCACTATATTTGGGTGCCTTGCTTTAGCAGTGTTTGTATTGACATTTGTTTTGAGAGCAGAGTGTGAGGACACAAAACAATCAAACCCATTAAGTGTTCAGATTCAGTCACCTGATTAAAGGGCATAATAATAATAACATAATAAAAGAAAGGGAGAAAGAGAAAAAACAGAAAAGCATAAATACAAAATGGGTTTAATGCTTGGTGCCAATGTTAGAAAAGGGTTAAAGTGTACTTGCAGCTGCAAGGCTTTATTTGTTTATTTGGAACTTCTTATTAAATTAAATAATTATGAAGGACTAAGCTTCAGTATTTGTTTACTTCTTCACACACTCCATCGGTTCATATTGACACATTATTTGTTTCAATTTTTATCTAAGGAGAATACTTTTTTATTTTACCCGAAAAAAGTAAAATAATCTAATTTGATTCAGTTGTTACACAATGACACAATGTAAGAGTGTAAAGAATAGGACATTAGTCACATTTAATTAGTGGGTGTAGGACAGGAAATTACATATTTAAATGTGGGCAAAAGCTTACAGTTATTCTGAGGGGGGAAAAGTATGCTAAAAATGGTTGTATTTCTTTCTTTTTCTCTCTTTCTCTCTCTGGTGAAGAAAAATCCCTTTATCAGTTGAATGGGCAGTAAATATTAAACCAATCTAGATAAAATAACTTATATTCTTGTGATGATACAATATTTGGAAAAGCATAATAAAAGCCAATTAAAGCAAGTTAAGGATTATAAAATATTGGTTTAAAATAAATAAATAAACACATAAAATAAAAGCTAATGGACACCATATGCGCCCACTGGAATGATGCATATGCCTGTTAAATCCAGTAAATGCGGTTTAAATGTCATCCCCCTGCAGGTCATGGCAATCATAAAGAAGACAGTCCTTTCCTCAGCAGTTCAGACTCGGCATCTAAGAGGAATGACTACTACGACAAAAACTTGGCCCTCTTTGAGGTTCATTTTTATTTCCTTCTCTTTGTAATTCTCTTTGCTTTTTTGTTGGTTTTGATGGCTTCTGTTGTCCTCATTTGTAAGTCGTTTTGGATAAAAGCGTCTGCTAAATACCTAAATGTAATATTTCCCACTAAATTTATAATCTAAAGTCTCAATAACATTCCCAAATTCAACATTAAAATATTAGAATAGTTTTCATGTTATGTTATGTGTAGAATTATGTTTTCGTATGATTGGTGCTGAGGTGTATCTTTCCATAGGAAGAGCTGGATATCCGACCGAAGGTCTCATCTCTTCTCAGTCGGCTGGTCAGTTACACAAACGTTACTCAGGGAGCCAAAGAACATGAAGAGGCAGAAAGTGCTGATGCATCCAGAAGACAAATGCCCAAGGTTATAAAGTGTTAATTTCACAACATTATATTTTCACCAGAGGCGGACAGTAACTAAGTACTAGGTGTTGGACTTGAAGCAGCACTGCAGAGACCATTCTGTGTATGACATCAAAGTACCACGAGAGCGATTAGACAGCATTTTTAAAATGTTTGTTTTGATGTTAAATAAGTCTCGCTGTTTGCTTTTTTGTTAAAGCAGTGTTGCTGTTGTAAAGTTGTACAGCTACAGTTGTGTTGCTGGGTTTTAAAGCAGGTTTGATTTTTTTTCTTCTTTATCACTCTGTATTTACAGCATTTCACTGTCCACTCTGTTCAATTGTGGATGAATGGCTACACATAGATGTGTTCACACTGTCAGAGCTGTGTGAGATCACTGTGAGACCATCCTGCTTTTGTGGGGGTGGGTAGGGGTGTTCATTTTTTTCCCCCGATAGGTTTTTAACATTCTAAAAGCTCTTTATTCCAAAGATACTACAAGCTAGTCAGTGTATTCAGTAGGTGTAATGTATTCTAAGTTGCTTCAGAAGTATTGCAAGTATTACGTACAATAATAAAACAGTGCATTGACATAAAAAAAGGAAATTTACTTTTGGTACTTAAGTACTTTTAAAAGCAAGTACTTCTGTACTTTTACTTAAGTAAAAATCTGTCTTTACAACTTTTACTTGTAATGGAGTAATATTTGACAAGCAGTATCTGTACTTTCAATGGAGTTGAGTACTTTGTCCGCCTCTGATTTTCACTGTAACCAAAACATCTGCAACATTGTTGTTCTGAAAGATTTTTCTCTCTTCTACTTTGTTCTCTGTAGTCTCCGAATATGGGCACACTGATGGGAGTGTATCTGCCATGTCTGCAGAACATCTTCGGTGTGATTCTCTTTCTGCGTCTCACCTGGATAGTAGGAACAGCAGGTGTCGTCCAGTCCTTCCTGATCGTTCTCATGTGCTGTTCCTGTGTGAGTTACTGCAGACACACCCTCACAAACACAGTCATGTTCACTCCTACTTTTGCTTTTCCTTGTCTGTCCTGTAAACAAGCAGTATAACATTTTTAAAACAGTTTGACATGTCCAAAACAAGATACAGACAGTATGTCAAATAATATGAAGCAATAAAAATAGTAAAGTTAACACTGACAATTTAACAGTAGTTGGCAGAGTGCAAAAAAACTAGTAAGTGTTCAATAGCCTGATTAAAAAAAAGTGTTCTTAAGTCTGGTTGTGCATGGCTGAATTCTCTGGTAACTTCTGTCGGACAGCAGTGTCACATAGATTGCGTGAAATCCTATATTTGTGTGCTTTTCTCATACAGCGTGTCTGATAAGTAGCATTTTAAAGCTTTGCTTACATGCTACATTAAGCTATTATGTATTAGCCTGGAAAACATGCATTCAATTAATTTGAGATTACATGAATCAAACGGATTACATGAATCAATTTAATTTATTAGATTTAAGTTGCTATTTTACTTTTACTGGCTAACCCTCAAATGTAGCTGTTATTGATTAGTAAGGCGGGCAGTGTGTGAACTCTGTAACTCTGCCATTAGTGCACAAAGTCAGTTTGATATGTGGAAAGCAGGATAATGTGTAACATAAAATATAGTTAAAATGTTTAAATGTATGATTTTTATTTGTTTTTTGTTTTAACAGACAATGTTAACGGCAATCTCGATGAGTGCCATAGCCACCAACGGTGTAGTTCCAGGTAATTTTAAATGTTTATAATCCTTTGTATTATAACATTGTACATTGTACAAGAATATCAGTATTGAAAATTTTAATTTAGGTTTTTAATTTTTGATCTAATTATGATTATTTTCTTCTTTTTTTCTTTTTTTTTAATTGGCAGCTGGTGGGGCCTATTTCATGATATCTCGGTCTCTGGGCCCTGAGTTTGGTGGTGCAGTTGGTCTCTGTTTTTATTTGGGCACAACCTTCGCTGCTGCGATGTACATACTGGGAGCAATTGAAATATTTCTGGTCAGTCTCCTTTTATAATGACAGCACACACACACACACAATGATCCAAACCCCAAAATGATCAGTCTCTGAAAATAATCATTCATCAACTCTTATTGTCTACAGAAATACCTGATTCCTCAGGCTGCCATATTCCATCCCGCAGATATTCATGCAGGGAGTGGTGCGATGCTGAATAATATGCGGGTGTACGGCACAATATGTTTGAGCCTTATGGCTGTTGTTGTCTTTGTGGGAGTCAAATATGTCAACAAATTTGCCTCCCTTTTCCTGGCCTGTGTCATAATCTCCATTGTTTCCATCTATGCCGGAGCTATCAAATCTATCTTCCACCCTCCTGAGTTTCCGTAAGTCTTTCAGTAACATGTTTATAATCAATACATAAAATGTAATATTTGGATTCTTATTGGAATGTGCCAAAAGACTGTGCCAATTTATTTGATATAATATATATTATACATAATAGGCCTATATTGAAAGTGTAAAGTCAATGCGATGAGCTGTTTTTTTATTTATTTTCAATAGTTTACAGTTTTCTTATGATGCAGAAGGAAAATATAATTGGATACAAATAAGTGTATCCATCTTTTTAGTTTTTACTCTTTTTCTTTTAAATTGTGCAGGATCTGCATGTTAGGAAACCGCACACTGGTTCGTGATTTGTTTGATGTCTGTGGGAAGACAGTAGTTGTCGGTAATGACACGGTTCCCAGCCAGCTCTGGAAGAACTTCTGCAGCTCTGAGAATTCCAGCAGTACTCATTGTGACGAGTACTTCCTCCAGAACAATGTTACAGAGATCCAGGGCATTCCTGGGCTGGCCAGTGGCATCATTAATGGTAAGGACACATATGCTCTACTGCTAAGAAAAACTTACAGATAAGAAAATTACAACATGCATTTAAAGATGGTGGAAAAGCTTTCCTTCTGTAGGCGCTTGCTATTTAACATGTATAATATGTAGCTTTGCACATTTGATTTCATTAGAACTTCTTTGTGCATGTGTATGTGTGTAGAAAACATGTGGGGGGATTACATGGAGAAAGGGCAGATTCTGGAAAAGGCAAGTCTGTCTTCTGTTGATGTCCATGGCTCAATGGAGACCTTTGGCTTCTATGTGTCTGCTGACATTGCCACGTCCTTCACCCTCTTAGTGGGAATCTTCTTTCCTTCTGCCACAGGTAAAACTCATCTGTCCTCTTTGGTTAAGAAATATATTTATTTATTACACAGCTCCCTGTAATGCTTTATTCTAATAGGACAATCATGGAATCCAGCGCTGCAATATTAGAAGTGTTCGACTTTGTGCTACATGTAAAATTCAAACATTTGGTTATCTGATTAATATTAGTACATATAACCTCCTTTGTCTGAAAGAAAGACAAAAAAAGAAAGTATACACAAACAGTATAAGCGTCACTATGAGAAGCAGAAAGTATCTCTTTTCAGTTGCTCCTTCAACTGTAAGCAGCAAACTCTTGCCAATCTGTTGCAGTTTATATAGAGCAGCTATAGACCTCAATCAGGGTAGCACCATATTTTATTCTTGATGGGAATGAGGATGAGGCTGTGATGGATAGAAGTGCAGTGCATTGAATGTATTGTACTGTTGCTTAAAATAACTTTCAGTAAACAACAGCTCCATAAAAAAAACTTTGAAAAGTTGTGAAAATGTGTGTTATGGCTGTACACTATATTTTACACATCTTCTTAAAGGAAAATGTCTTGAAATTCAGTATTTTTGTCTCTCTATGTCTCTGAGACAGGCATTATGGCAGGGTCAAACAGATCTGGTGATCTAAGAGATGCACAGAAGTCTATACCAATAGGGACGATCCTGGCTATTACAACTACCTCTCTTGTCTGTATCCTTTTTTGCTGTTGGTACTGGTATTATGTTTAAAACAAGAATTTTACTATTACTCTTATTGACAGCATGTTATTTTAGGACTCGTTTGTATTTTTGTGTTATAAAAACTTCTTTTTTTTTTCAAGAGCAGTTTTATTTAGCATTCAAAGTTTCATAAAATTCCCTGACTCCTTTCACAGACTTCAGCTCTGTGGTTCTATTTGGGGCCTGTATTGAGGGTGCGGTGCTGAGAGATAAGTAAGTAATCTAGAGATCACAAATACAGCATTTTTAGATGGAAACAAGCATGTTGTGTCTCATGTGTTCTTGCGTATCCCTTTTAGGTTTGGAGATGCCGTCAGTAAAAACTTGGTGGTTGGCACACTGTCCTGGCCCTCTCCCTGGGTCATTGTGATTGGCTCTTTCTTCTCCACAGTGGGTGCAGGACTTCAGTCCCTGACAGGAGCTCCTCGCCTCCTGCAAGCCATTGCTAAAGATAACATCATTCCTTTCCTTAGAGTAAGAGATCTCCAGATATATGATTGCAAAACAATATATCAAAAAACCACCACATCTTTTTTCACCATGGTGATTTTCTTAATTACAATCTCAATTGGAGTACACAATATAAAATAGCAGCAAGTTTAGCTTTTATCTGTGGTTCGTAATGTATCCTCCCTGGGTCATTGTGATTGGCTCTTTCTTCTCCACAGTGGGTGCAGGACTTCAGTCCCTGACAGGAGCTCCTCGCCTCCTGCAAGCCATTGCTAAAGATAACATCATTCCTTTCCTTAGAGTAAGAGATCTCCAGATATATGATTGCAAAACAATATATCAAAAAACCACCACATCTTTTTTTCACCATGGTGATTTTCTTAATTACAATCTCAATTGGAGTACACAATATAAAATAGCAGCAAGTTTAGCTTTTATCTGTGGTTCGTAATGTATTGTAGAACTACTGTTTTGAAACGTAAAACATGACTGATGAAGGTGAGAAGAATTTCAGTAAATGGAGCTCCTGGATTATATTTACTTCCTTTTCTGGAATGCCAAACCACAAAAGCCACTAAAGAAAGCATTTGCATGTCATATGTAAAATGCTTTTCCTAAAATGTAAATATGTGATGCTAACAGCTGACTGCAACTTTCTGTCCCTGGGTGTCCCATGTGTTTGCACACGCACAGGTTTTTGGACACGGTAAAGCTAATGGAGAGCCCACGTGGGCCCTGCTGCTGACAGGACTCATAGCAGAGCTCGGCATACTCATTGCATCACTGGATATGGTCGCTCCTATTCTCTCCATGTGAGGACAAAGCACAAATATACACACAGATACATCACTGTCACACAAAATAAATGATCAAAATTTCATAATTAGATGTCATTTTTATATTGAATGTTGCATGTTAATGCAATTACATATTATTTTTATTTAATCATTTACTGATGTGTTTGAAGTAAACAAATTATATTGCAAATAGATCCTACTGGTAAAATGTAGAATAGACATCAATTTACAGTTGCTTCTTATGAAACTTACAGTCACGGAACAAACAGCACATATGTTTCCAGGTTCTTGTCACTGCTAGAAGTCCTGATATTCAGCCAGAAATAAAGATGATGTTTATTCATGTTTTATTTTATGTCAAAACGTTTTTTTCACCTTAATTGTCATTGCATGTATTACATGACACTTATTGTAATATGTATGTTTGTTCACTTTACAGGTTTTTCCTGATGTGTTATCTTTTTGTAAACTTGGCGTGTGCAGTACAAACACTTTTAAGAACGCCAAACTGGAGACCTCGGTTCAGATACTACCACTGGTAAGTGTGCATTTAAACTGTGTATGCATACATTCATATATATCTTATTTGTGCAAATCCTGAGAACTTCTCTTGTAGTCACATTTGAATTCTGTTAAACATGATCTCAAAACTCACTCTCATTCAGCCCTTGATAGAGATATTTAAAAAAATTACCTCTAATAAAACAATTCCAGCTATTGTAACAATAATGGGCCTTTTTTATGATATGCTCTCTGTTCTCTCCCTCTCAGGGCTCTGTCATTTCTGGGCATGAGTATGTGTTTAGCCCTTATGTTTATCTCCTCTTGGTACTATGCCATTGTAGCGATGGGCATTGCTGGTATGATCTACAAGTACATTGAGTATCAGGGGTAAGTGATTTCCAATTACATCCATTAAACTAACATACAGTATATCACTGGGAAGCTCTTGAAGAGTCACTTGAATTCTCCACCTTTAGTTTACAAATCTCTGGCTTGTATATTTTCTCTCTCTTGTAGAGCAGAGAAGGAATGGGGAGACGGGATCCGCGGGTTGTCTCTTAGTGCAGCCCGTTACGCTCTTCTTCGCCTGGAGGCTGGACCACCCCACACCAAAAACTGGAGGTTAGTTTGTCACAGACAATGTGTTTTCCACGATAATTGACTGCTGTACATAGAATAGATATAAACCAAAACTATTAAAAGATATATAAAGACATTAGATAAAAAGTGTAGATAAATGCTAACTTAAAATATTATCAGCTGATATTTTTCCAGAACACATATTTAGTAATATAGTAATACATATTTCATATTTAGTATGAAAAACATAAATAATGTTTATAAAAGCCAGAAGATATTGATTGAATAACACACTCCTGGCAGGCGTTCTTCAAACAGTGTTTGTACTAACAGTAGCATATTGGTATTGCACTACTTCCGTTTAAAAGTTTGTGGTTGGTAAGATTTCCTGATGTTTATGAAAGACGTCTCTAATAAAGATCAAGGCTGATCATAACATTTATTGATCATATAAATACAGTAAAAACAGTAATAATATGAAATATTATTACCAAAATAACTGTTTTCTCTTTTATTTATTTATTTTTCTGTCATGGCAAAGCTGAATTTTCAGCAGCTGTTATTCCAGTCTTTAGTGTCACATGATCAAATTCATTCTAATATGCTGGTTTGGTACTCAAGAAAATGTTTTTCTTTATTAATATGAATGTTGAAAAAACTGTGAAAAACAATGGATTTTTTCAGGATTCTTTGATTAATAGAAATTTCAAAAGGTCAGCCTCTTTTGACCTTTAATCCATTTCTTTAAAAAAAAAATCTTCCTGATTCCAAACTGAGTAGTGTATGTATAAATAATTACACCAAAATCGCATTAAAATAAAATTGTTAATAGGCCACAGCTGCTGGTTCTGCTGAAGTTGGATGAAGACCTGCATGTGAAGTATCCCAGAATGCTTACCTTTGCCTCACAGCTAAAGGCGGGAAAAGGTCTAACCATTGTAGGATCAGTGATACAGGGCAGCTTCCTGGAATGCTATGGGGAAACACAAGCATCAGAACAGGTGAGGAAGTTTCCTGATTTACACTCACTTTTAGCATCACCATGACTGTAACTGTGATCCTAAATTACAGATGCAAATACAATGATGGTTATGTATGAAATTAAGTCTACTGTCTTTGCAGCTCTATATCAGCCTCTCTGGAGTGTGCTGAGAGATAGCAAAAGGCAACATTTCATTAAATTAGGTTTCTTTACCCTCCACCAGGCAATAAAGAACATGATGGAGATTGAGCGGGTGAAGGGCTTCTGTCAGGTGGTGGTCGCCTCCAAAGTGAGAGAGGGGATCGCACACCTCATCCAGTCCTGTGGTCTGGGAGGCATGAAACATAACACAGTCGTTATGGGTTGGCCATATGGCTGGAGACAGAGTGAAGATCCACGGGCTTGGAAAACCTTCATTAGTAAGAGCAAGAGTTTGGGCAAGGTTTATTTGAGCTATGTGCATTGTAATTGTCTGCACTGAGACACAGTCCTTAGAAAGGCTAATGTAAACCACTCCTCTTTCATATTCTCTCACTTGTAGATACAGTCCGCTGTACTACAGCTGCTCACCTGGCTCTGATGGTCCCAAAAAATGTGTCATTCTATCCCAGCAATCATGAGCGCTTTACTGATGGCTATATTGATGTGTGGTGGATTGTCCATGATGGTGGAATGCTCATGCTCCTGCCTTTCCTGCTCAAACAACATAAGGTGAACAATTAATCATTGCTAATTTTAAAATACAAATGATAGACTTAATGAGAATGATCTAAATTATAAATATATTGGCAATATTTGTTCTGACAATCAATAAATCAGCACAATATTATTTGGATTCTTGTACTTCAGGTCTGGCGTAAATGTAAGATGCGCATCTTCACTGTGGCTCAAATGGACGATAACAGCATTCAGATGAAGAAGGACCTGGCAACCTTCCTGTACCAGCTCAGATTAGAAGCAGAGGTGGAAGTGGTTGAGATGGTATACAGAACACTTTCGCTTTACTATTAACACTTCACATCCCACCCTGTGACATTAAGTATGTATGCCATCATAATTTCATGTCAAATGTTGTTATTTGCAGCACAACAGTGATATCTCAGCATATACATATGAGCGGACACTGATGATGGAGCAGAGGTCACAGATGCTAAAACAAATGAGGCTCTCTAGTGCAGAGAGAGACAGAGAGGTACAGCAATATTCACTTGTGAAATGTCTCTTCTGTACTTACACTGTAGCTTACCAACAGCAAAATAATACAGAAATCATTCAAATATTATATGACAATGACAAACAATACACCCTGAAGTGGTTACTTAAATGTTACACAAATTATGTAAGTATTTTCATATAATTGTATCTACCGAAATGTAGTCATTGCATCATTTGTGCAAAAATTTTCAAACTGCATACTAATATTGTGCATAAAAATTAGCACAAGTGCTTTCCATTTCAGTTGAAATAATTTCCTTATTTTGTCAGCATGTCACAAAATGCATTTTGTGAACTAAATATGTCAAAGATAAAAAAGGCATAAAAGCTAAGTAAAAAGCAAAAAAACAAAAAAGGCCTCTGAATAAGTATTTTAAAGGATTTTTTTTTCTCTAAGGATATTGTGTGCAGGCTTTTATGCTTTTTTGACAACACTTGTTATGTGTGAAGTAAATATGCAAGTCTTTTGTCATCCAGACAACTTGTTTTATGTACAAAATTCTTATTACATTTATGAAATGCATTTCATTGTCAAAACAACCCATTTTGTGGACAAAAAAAATATCTGCAGACAAATTAAATATTCACAAAATTAATATTTAATTCACAAAATGCATTTTGTGGTTTAGACTTTTCCACACAAAATGGGATGACTTAACATTATACATTATATAAACAACATGAAATTGCTTTTTGTCTTTCTGTGTACAAAATGCATCAAAGTGTACAAGATTTCTTTATGAAATACAGTATTTCATGTTACAAAATTAGGGGAGTCATACCTGATGCTCCATGCTAGCGTCACATTTAATGTCTTGTTGACTGTAAAAGTTAAATACCTGCAGTAGCAGTTCTCTGAAGTGTGGTCCCATTACTCTTGACTGTAGGCCCAGCTAGTGAAGGACAGACACTCGCTGATAAGAATGGGCAGTCTATACTCAGATGAAGAAGAGGAAACCATTCAAGTATTACCAGAGAAAAACCAGATGACCTGGACTAGTGAAAAAATAGAAGCGGAAAGACGAAACCGAAGCAACGCACCAGAAAACTTCAGAGAACTAATCAGCATTAAACCGTGAGTACTAGGCAAGCAGGAACAAGAACTGGAATGCCACCACTGCACTCTATCAACACAGTATTTGGTACAAAGTAGTAGGTTTTACTTTTTTATCTTTATATATGTTGCCAGTTAACAAAATAAATCAATTGACACAGAATCAAGTTTTTTAGATTTGTTAATTTATTTTGGTATTTTAACTCAATCCGCTGTTTAGATTTTCTTGGTTGTGATCTTGAGCGATTTTTAATCAATGATTCAACAAATAACAGGTGATAATTCAATATCACTCAACTTACATAAAAGGTAATACTCAGATTCACCACACGGGGTCACTATAACTGTGCTTAAACTCCAAACGGAGGTTTCACAGGAATAATCCAAAAGTAAATACAGAAAACTCAAATAAAGTGTCAATTCTTCCGAATGTACAATGATTTCTAATGTTAGGGTGAAGCAATACTCTTTAGGATCACACAAACACGGTAGTAGTCTCTGTATCGCACTCTTAGCGGGTTATCATTAGCAGCCGCTCTCTTAAAGGGGTAGTACACTCTTTGTGTGCCCCACACTCTAAAGCCGGCTCACACTGTGCGATTTTGGCCACGATTTGGTCGTCTGAGACAAATTTTGAAAATCCTAAAAGATTCCTATAATCCTAGGCTAAAATCTGTAGTCTTTGATCGTTAGTTTGACATGTTCACCGACAGCCGATTAATGCTGTTGCGATTAAATTTTACCTCCGAATTGTCCGAAGATTTGGCGCAGTCCTGCAGTGTGACTTCTCACACTTGCTAGAGATTTCTTCTAACCGCATAAACTCCGACGCTCTAGTCCTCCGTTCACGGAATTCATCTGATTCGTTGCCTTTGCTATGATAAACATCGGTTGCGCTGCTGTTTTCGTGTGGGTGTGTAGTGCTGCTTGCACTATTCTGCATAAATACGCCGGTATTGCCGCCATTCATATACATTTAATGATAGCCAACATTACAGCCCCGCGTGCAATGCAGCTCGCAGTCACTGAACGTGTATGGGTTGATAAGGTAAAACTCCGGACAAGTTTTCTTGCGCGCACCTGTTTTTAACACGTCTTGACTGTCGTACAGTCTGACATTAATGACAACTGAGATCCCACAGTGTGACATGATCATCATGTTCGTACAGTCTGACAAGTACAATCCTATAGGACTTTTAAAAAATCGCACAGTGTGAGCCCGGCTTAATACCACCTGGTTACATACAATAGGCCTATTTGTTTTTTATGGCTAGCATAAAGAGGAGAGGATCCTTGGTGTCTGTGCCTTGTTGTATTTGCCTTTTTTACAGAAGTAAACTATGTGGGTGTGCATGCTTGTGTAATTTCAGTGTGTTATTATCTATAGTCCTCAAAGGTCCTAGTTTATTTTATTTATTTATTAAATTCCACACATTGTATTATTCCACCTTAGTTTCAATCAAAACTCTCTTTGTGTGTGTGTTACAGTGACCAATCTAATGTTCGGCGGATGCACACAGCTGTGAAGCTGAATGAGGTTATTGTAAATAGATCCCATGATGCCAGACTGGTGCTGCTGAACATGCCAGGACCTCCACGCAACCCAGAGGGAGATGAAAACTGTATCCTTCCCAAAGAATTATATACTTTAAGTACTGTATTAAAGCATTCTTTTACTGGTGTGCTTAGTTTCTTGTGAGATATAGATAAATCCAACATGAAAATATGCTCTGTTTGGTATGGTATGTATTGCTACTTCTCATGCTGTTTCGTTAACTCCGATTTCAGATATGGAATTTCTTGAGGTGTTAACTGAAGGTCTAGAGAGAGTGCTGCTTGTGAGAGGTGGAGGTCGTGAGGTCATCACCATCTACTCCTGAATGGCCAAAGATCAATACATAGACCACTGTTACTGTTTGCTACTATATCTAATGCAAGTCAAAAAAGTGGCATATAAATAGGGTGACCATATGTGCCATTTTCCCAGGACGCGTCCTGGCCAGGATTTCTATATTGCCTAAATTATCTAGGTTTTGCCTTTGTTTGCGTGTGCAGACCGATCGGTGTATGACATCAAAATACCATACAGACGGTTCCTTATGCTCTCAAAATGCTCTCGAGGTATTTTGATGGCATACACCGATCGGTCTGCACACGCAAACAAAGCCAAAACCTAGATATTTTAGGCAAATGGGAAGTCCTGGGAAAATGGCACGTATGGTCACCCTACATATAAAGAATATGCATTCTGAACACCTTATGCCAGCCTAAACATATCATATCATAGTTCATGAAAATGAGTTTTACACTAAATTGTAATTCATTCATTTCACAATACATTTCACTTTAAATATTTTAGTGGCATGTTTGGGCTAAGTTGTGTACCTTTTCAACTGAACCCATTCCACATTCACACCATAACATTCATAATCACTTTGGAATTTAGGCCATGCTTGCTGCACAAAATAACAGATGATTCCAGCAACAACATTGCTTACGTATGACATTAAGTAGACAATCCCACTTTAAAGCATTTGAGGTTTTGCTAACATTGATGAGTTTAAATCGCTGATGTAGCAATATACACTTTCAAGCATGCTAACAGTTCAGTAGAAAATGTTGTGGCTTGGTTCAGAGCCAAGAAAAATATTTCACAACAGTTAACAGTAGCACATTTAGAAGAGAAATATTCAATTTCCTTTTAATATAAACAAATGACATTCAAAACATTACTGTGTACAGGGAGACTAATATAAAAAATGAGCACATGTGATTATCTTGACTTTTACTGCCCAAGTAACAGATCTAGTGCTTCCTGATACAAGACTGCCATTCAGAATGCAAGTGCTAAATTTAAATTGCCATTTGAGTGCTTGTATTTTTTATTTATTTTGTCTTCATTATTTATTTGTAAAACTCCCCACTGTATTAGAAAATAACCAAAGGAGCTGAAATGGGATGGGTAGATTTTGTAATTTATAACTGCATTGTATAACTTTTTTGAGATTGATTCTTTATAAATGAACCATTCATTTTCAACATACTGCATTTTAGTACACAACTCACATTGAGAATGAGACATTTTGGATACCGATAGTCTTTATTCTTTTTTTAGGGCATGATTACTGTACAGACATTTGTTACATACATTTGTTATACAAATAGAAGAAAATATGGAAAACTCTATTGACTAACAACATTTATATCTGGTATTTAAAGGTGATGATCTGTTACTGGATGTATAGTGTTAAATCTGTACAGTGTTTCATGTCAAAGAGAAAGATTAAACACTCAATGAAATATGCAGTTGACTTATGTATAGTATTAAGAAAAATCTATTTTAAAACAAAGAATATGAAAAAGTTACAATAAAGTGCACTATGAACTACAGAACATGCTACATGTATTATATGATCTTATTTTTGCCTCAGAGAAGACAACCTCTAACTGCACACCTTGTGGATTAACAAAAAAGAAGCTAGAAAAAACAGGTGGAATTGCATTAAGTTGACGAGTATTTTTTCCTTCTATAATAAATGAATACAGTATTATCGAAAGACCTTGTGGATTAACAAAAAAGAAGCTAGAAAAAACAGGTGGAATTGCATTAAGTTGACGAGTATTTTTTCCTTCTATAATAAATGAATACAGTATTATCGAATGTCATCTGCAGATAAATGTAAGTATACACTGTGACTCTCTGGTGCTTCCAAAAGATTAATCTTTACATTTGAGCAGTTCAACAGAGTACTTGAGAGGACTACTTGTTAGTCCAAGCGGTGAGCATGGTGGAAGAGGTGATAGGAGTGTTTGAGAAATGTGTTTGGAAAGAAATAATTTAATAATACATTCATTCATTTCAACATATATTAAATGAATGAAACGCATAATACAATATTTTTGTATTCAATAAAAATATAACAAATTGTTTTTTTATATCTACTATCTATATTTTTATATCTACTTCTGCAAAAGGGAAACACCAGACAGACTGAAAGAAACCTATGCTTCTTACTGATATGTTAAGAAAGTACAAGGTAATGCAACAGTGCTGTTTGTTACCTCATTTTGTTTCCTCGTGTGATCTGTACACTTGCCATACATATTATAAGAATCCCGTGCCCATTTACCACCTACGTGGAATTTTAGAAAATTAATCTACCAGCTATGTGGATTTTAGAAAAATGTGTAAAGCTTCACATGCACATTTACCACTCACGTGGATTTAGAGAACGTGCAAAGCCTTGCTTTACGTGGACATCTTACCATATTATCTGGAAAACCCGACCATATCGGCCAGCTGGAAGCGGCCGGCTCACACATCTCAGTGGTGATGGGAGCTCTGCCTAAGACAGCCTTACACAGGAGGATCCTGGTGATGCCCCCTGTACCTCCCGTTCGTTGCCTCAGCAAGACGGAATACGCCGGTGACCAGGAAGCCCCTCGGGGCGACCAGGCACTGTAGCCCAGTCCGTGTGCATCGCAGCGTAGCCCCAGGGGCCAGATGTTCACGAAGGCTCCCGCAAAAACCCGTGTTCGGCCGCATGATCCAGGAGGTATGAAGCCGGAGCCCGGCTTTTTTTTTTTTTTTTCCCCACCGCCTGGACATGTGTCGACGAGTGAACGCCTACTGCAAGTAGAGCACCTGGCTTCTGAGCCCAGCAACGGCACCTCACCGAGGGCATCTAGCAAGGGACAGAAATGTACAGGTCCCGGGAGATACTGCAATGGAACTATAGAAGGTTACGCACACACAGCCGTCTCAGTCCGTCCTCA